GATTGTTCTAGGCCATAATAATCGAATCTGGAAAGTGTGTCTGATTTTTTTTTTCCTGATTTCCCTTTCTTACTGTAATGAATAAGGGAGGAATCACCCCGAGATTCTTTGTTATCCTTTTGCTATTTCCCTGGTTTAAAGAGTGACCATTGCCTCTGCCCAGTTTCCTCAAGGTCATCTCCATGGCTTACAGTGAGATAGGTAGGTAGGTAGGTAGGTAGGTAGGTAGGTAGGTAGGTAGGTAGGTAGGTAGCAATGGTGGGTTACGGCCGGTAGACCCTGGTACGGGTGTACCAATGCCTGCTGGGAGCACCAAGTACCTTTCTGGTATGGTGCTTCAGAGGGCCCGCCCATCCTCTTTCCCTGTATTTGACCCAACCGGCCCATTTGCACACACACCGTACGGCGACTGTGCGATGCTCCGCCGAGCAGCTGGAGCATCATAGGCAGGTGGTGCACATGCGGGCGCAGCGCATATGCACATGGTGGATGCCCGGCCCCATTGTAGCATATTGGTTGCGATGGGATCTGGAACCCACCACTGGTTGGTTGGTTGGTAGGTAGGTAGGTAGGAGAGAGACAGACAGACAGTCAGATAGAGCTAGCTAGACAGATGATAACTAGCTAGCTAGCTAAATGAGAGAGAGACAGAGAGATAGAGAGACAGAGAGAGACAGAGAGACAGACAGAGAGACAGAGAGACGGGGGATGACTAACTAGACAGATGTAAAAACGAGAGGTTGAAGATAGATGAGAGAGAGAGAGGATAGCTAGATAAACAGATGATAGATGGACAGACAGACAGAGAGACAGATGAGAGAGAGAAAAGGATAGATAGATAGATAGATAGATAGATAGATAGATAGATAGATAGATAGATAGATAGATAGATAGATAGATAGATAGANCTCTCTCTCTCTCTCTCTCTCTCTCTCTCTCTCTCTCATGAATATAATAATGTAATGCTTTCTGGGATTCTTAAGCTAGAATTTTTATGTATGGATATTATGCTGACAGATACAGATCTGAGAGATTCTGAAGTAACTAATGACCCACATTAGTAAATAAATATTTTTAAACACATGAAGCTGTATGAGATTCAGGAACAGCAAGGTAAATAACCCCTTTTGACCATGTATATCAACTCAATGAAGTATATAGACAGCACCTAATGAAGATTACTCTCTACCAGACATTCCCACACAACAGTTAAATTATGATGCCAAGAACTGGATATTATCACTGACAACTAGCTAGTCAATTTTAAAAGGCCCCCTACTGCTAATCCCAAGACTAGAATACAGTCTCTTTCTCTCTCTCTCTTATTTTATTTTCCCTTTTACTCCGAAAATCTTTTATTTGGTAGGTCAAGTAATTTTGTCATTGACAACTCAAGGTAACTATTTCTTAAAACAGCAGGGAAGCCATTTTTGGGGGGTGTGAATTCCATCTTGAAAAAAGGCAGCTGGGAAGAGGGAATATCAGTAAGAGTGGGGGGACTTTGGCTCTATATTAGGAAATGGGTAATTTTGTCATTAACATTTATTAGTTTGCCTGATTGTCAGACTTTACAGATTCTGTTATTAGCCTATACTAAAATACTAGTGTTCTTTAACATTTCTTGTATTTGTGTTTGTTTCCTCATCTGGTTTTCCTCAGAGGTGTTCAAGATTGATAATAGTCCTTTGAGGTAGGCCAGGAAACAGAGACCACAAGAAACACTAGAAATCGACTGTATTGATGTGGGGTATAATAACAGCATCTTTAGTCTACCAGCATTTCTCCTTCCTTCTCTCTTATAACATGGTAGAATAGTTATTAGAATGCAGTACTAAAGACTAACTTACTGCTCACTCCAGGAGTTTGATTCTGAATCGCTCAAGGTTGACTCAGCCTTCCATCCTTCTGAGATCAGTAAAATGAAGAGCCAAATTGTTGGGGGCANCCCAGTCTACCCAGTGCAAAGAGGAAACATGCCAGCAGTTTGGGCATCAATCTGGCCACACCCACCCAGTCAGTCACACCCAGTGAGTGGCATCAAGCTGGCCACACCCACCCAGTCAGCCACACCCACCCAGTCAGCCATGCCCAGCTGGCCCTCCGAGGTCAACTACAGCCATGATATGGCCCTCAAAGGAATTGAGTTTGACACCCTTGCAATAAAGTATAGTTGTGGTCTTCTTATGGAATTGGTCTCTCAATCTGGTCTATCTTGTAGGGCTGACACAGGCTGAAAAAACAGAAGCTAGGAGACAAAGAGTAGGGCAGGCAGACTTTCCAATTAAGTCAACAATGAAACCAGGCACTCACAACCATAATGAATAAACATCATGGAAACACATAGGCCAGTTTCAAAAATAAGGGTGTGCATTCGTGGAAAAATAGCCTGCTTTGCTTGGAATTTCCTTCAGTTTTCACCATAGTACCTCTGGTTTGATAACCGCTCTTTGCGACTAACCTCAGCAGGGGTGTCTTACACTTTGGCAGCCTCCTCTGATGATATGGCCGAGCAAAAGCTGCATCATTATTTCCAGTATACTTGATTCTTTTCCCTTACAGGAAATTGTTGCACATAATATGCCTGACTATCTACAAAGGATTGTCCAATTCCATGCCCTCTTGGACTGTTGACCCATTAAGTATCTGTGGCAAAGAGTCATGACAATAGCATCAGGGGCAGTTCAAAGGCCTACAATAGGACTTCACGGGACATCCAAATGCTGTCCACTCTCTTTTCCCAACAGAAGTATTAACAGTATGAAAAGCATAATATGACATATCAGAGGTTTGCCAAGGACAATTGGTTAGAGAAAGTGGCATTGCTAGAACTTCTTATTGTTACTGTGCCAAAGCCTAAGGCAATATTGATGAATATTTATGCAGAGAAGCAGAAAATTGGAGGCAATGCTGCACTGCAGAGCTTCAACCAACCGGTTAATTGCTCAACAATCAAAGCATTGGATACGTCATTCCCATTTACCAAATCGATTCCTTCATGGTGCAGAATCAAGAAGTAAACATTTGGCATCCTATCTGCTATCTCTATTCTGTAAGTTCTCAACTTAAAACCAAAAGTGGGACCAGAATTTCCATTGCTAAGCAAGGCAGTTGTTTGGTGCAGGGGTCTCCAACACTGGCAACTTTAAGACTTGTGGACTTCAACTCCCAGAATTCCTCAGCCAGCAAGTTGAAGTCCACAAATCCAAGGTTGGTGACCCTTGGTTTAGTGGGTCACACGTGGTTTTACAACCTTTATTTTTGCCCCAGTGATTAAAATGAATCACTGCAATTGTTCAGTGAATCATGCGTTTGTTAAGTGAAACTGGCTTCTCCCGTTGACTTTGCTTGTTGGAAACCAACTGGAAAAGTCATAAGTGATGGTCACATGAAGCCAGGACACTGCATGCCATTTGCCAAGTGCCCAAATTTTGATCATGTGACCATGGAAATTCTGCCACAGACATTTGTGTGAGGACTATAAGTTCAAACAGTAACCAAATGAGTGTTCGTAAATCAAGGACTGCTGTAATGTTTACAGTATGCATAAAAAATTCAGGTTGTAGTATCCAAAGGCCATTCCCTCTGGGATAAGTCAATGCTAACTATCTACAGTATGGTTTCCAGTGGCTATGGGAAACTCTGTGCCTTTTGATATGAGGACAATGTAAATAATGCAGATTCTTGCCTGTAGTTCATCTCTTAGAAGAGAATATTTGCAGTTCAGGGTTGAACTGTGCACTGTGTGTGCGCTGATGGCGTTACCTAGTTTGGTAATGAAAGTTCTGCAAGAAAATCACCAACCTCAGAGAGCACCAAGGATCCCCAGAGTTCATCTCTTCTTTGTACCTATCTCCCCATTTTTGTTCACTTTTTTCCCTCCTTTTTGACAATTAACTATTTTTTTATGCTGATATTTAAGATATAAACATCAAGTTATATTTTTGTCAGCTCAGCTGAGCGGCATATCTGCTTGCTCTGATCTTTGTGTTGCATATAATCTAAACTGGAAATTACTACCCACTTGCTCATCCAACATCCCAGAACAGGAATGCCTGTCTTAGAGATTCTTAGCGGTTTGCAAATATTCTTAACTGCTTCCTTTCCTGCTTCCTGGGGCAATGAGATGGGTGAGAGAGCTTGCTATAGATATAGAAGCTGCTGGTTATGGCATTGTCTTTATGCCAGTGTCACCATCCAAAATAGGACAGTGCCCGTGTATATTAAGGCTGAATCCCAGGACTTTCTAAGAAAAAAAGGAGGAGAGCTTTCTACTAAACTAGCATTTAAGTAAGAGTAAAGCAACATGCAAGTTCTGTTGAGACTGCTAGTTTGCATCAGAAGCATACGGCTTATATTTTTACCATCACATTTGCTGAGCAGGAACAGCTGCTCTAGTGAACTAAGGGAAGAAATGCATTCGCCAGCTCAGATTGTATTAGCGTCCCGTTGTTGATAACATCCATTTCGTCTGCTGAGATGGCTCAGAAACAATGAGCTCCTTCTTCTCCCTGCTCAATCGTCCTCTCCCTTTGCCTGTCGTAACAGCTGCCAGAGACGGACAACAGGCCTGTTTGCCTCATGGAATAATTATTTTAAACAAATTGAGGTGTCTTCCAACAAATACGTATGTTGGCCTAAGGTTCTATTTTTTCCAATCCCCCCCCCCNGTTCAAATCTCACCGGCTCAGGGTTGACTCAGCCTTCCATCCTTCCGAGGTGGGTAAAATCAGGACCCGGATTGTTGTTGGGGGCAATATGGCGACTCTGTAAACCGCTTAGAGAGGGCTGAAAGCCCTATGAAGCGGTATATAAGTCTAACTGCTATTGCTATTGCTATAATAATCAATCAGACTGTGTCTGGTGACACTCTTACAGCTGAAATCCTTAAGTGTGTATTCTCAATAGTCCAAATTCACAGTACAACAGCGAATGTTCTAAATAATTGCACAGGGATAGAACAAGCAAGATACAATCTCAATCGTTAAAAAAAAATTAAATACCTGAAGTAGCAGATGATACTTCAGAACTCGTTGCATTGGTACTACTAGGAGATCCCGCAGAGTAAATTTCCCATTATTAGCTCTTTTGGAACATTCCTAATGAAAGAATGAATGAGGAAAAGTTTCTCAGGATGACTCGTAATAAAAATAGCAATGTTATCTTTGATAAGAGGCTTGTTTCTCAAACTGCACCAACTATTCAATTATATTGAATTTTGATTAAGTCTGGGGTCCTTAGATTTAGTCTTCTTTCTCACCCAGCCCACTGTTTTGTCAATCAAAGATCAAGCACAATTCAGAAATGATTGAGCAGGTCTGGGTTAGGAGAAATCATTGGTTTATGATCAGTGGTGGGATTCAAATAATTTAACAACCGGTTAGCTGTCGTTGGTCAAACTGGTTGTTAAATTACACACACACACACACACACACACACACACACACAAAATCAAAGTGGATCCTGGGGGCTGCCCTGCAATGAAAAAGTGGGAAACGGAGTGGCCGGCACAAGGAAAGGAGGAGGAGCAGGTAGAAGAAAGAGGGGACGCGGCCTTCTCCTCCCCTCACACCAGCCACACCATTCCCCATTTCTCCTTTGCAGTGATCCACTTTGATAGCAAGGAGAGTGGTTTAATAACCGTTTCATCTGAACCAGTGCAAACCATCTGAATCCCACTACTGGTTATGATCGTGACCCGACAAAAGGGCGAACGGCAAAACCGCGCCTGACTAAACCGCGTCGCTAAAACCGCGATGTCATCAACGCGACGACAACAGCGCGGCGACAACAGCGCGGAGACAGAAGGGCGCTTTACAACAGCGCGGAGACAGAAG